GATTTAAGATTGAAATTAAATGTGTACCCAAACATAATTGAGAAAGCTGCAGCTGTATGATGGTGAAGATGAATCATTCTAATTTTCTTTAGCAACTCAGAAGATTGTTGTTTGGTCTTTCTTCTTGTACTCAATTTTCTGTCTCTTCTATTGGAGCTAGAGGGAACACATCTCTAATATCAAAAACCAGCTAGGTGCATATGCTGTATAATAGTCATCTTTGGATTTCTATGCCACAGAATAAGAACTAGCTATTTTTCCAGGTGTTAAGTTAGAAAATAGTAAAAGGTGGTTTACAACTTAAGGATTTCTTAGGGGTTTTAGCCTTTTTTTCATTAGGTGCTGTGTATAAATAGCATTTAGGTACTGTTTTTAATATAAAAATAACAGTAATTCAGCTTTTCATTTGGATTATCATTAAACCTGGATTTTCTTGAATACTCGTCACAAAATATGTATGTTATTATTAATGCAAACACTTTTTCTCTGGAACTTTGCAAGAATGCTTTCAAATATATAAAACCAGTTTGAGTTATTGGCTATTTGAGTTGTCATTTTAGAAATGTCACCAGTGTTAGGTGCCAGTGCAGAACATACAGGCAGTTAGAAATTTGAACAAAACATTTTGTTCTGTAAGTTTCAATCTAATCTGCAGTCCCAGTTTCATTTCAAGAACATTTCTGGCTCTTCTAACATCTTAAGCAAAGATTTGGCACGTGAATTTTGAATGATAATTTTGAAACACAATAAAGACCAGTGGAATAGTACCACTGTTAGTTTTTCCCTCTGATTTATAGTCACTTCAAACTGCAGAGAAGACAGTGTATCTAGGGTCTCATTTATTAAAGTGAGAGGACCCCATGAGAGGTAAGACAGAAACACAGTCACGTAAGAAAAATGTGGGTCAGAGCTGCTATCATAGCTACCTAAAAATTATTTTTCAAAATATAATTTAACTGCCAGTTTCAAAAGCACATGTTTACACTTCAGCTTACACCTGTAGCAACATGTCATGTCTGTTTTACAGATGAGGAAACTGAGGAAAAGCAGGTAACAGTGAGGTCATAGCAGGGGAAAAAGTGGAATCTGAATCCTCTCTACTTATTTCATTATAGTAGTTAAATTTACCAGCAGTTCAGCAGCAGCAAAGGAGTCCAGGTTTCACTTCTCCAGAAGCTGCATGTAGATAAAATGTCACAAACATAAATAATGGCAAATTTGTAAAACTGGAATTCAGGAAGTATGTGGTTGAATGGGATATAATTCTTTTGTTTAGTAATGACATAAATTATCATGCATCTTATCCATTCTGCAGCAAACAAGCGGTTCTTAAGCATTGTAAAGTTATGTTGCCTTTTTTTCCTTAAAGAGAATGTCTTTTGCCTGTGCAGACTGAATTTAGAGATGTATGTTCCTGTTTATGTGTTGGTGTTAGTAATCAATGACTGTTTTCAAACTCAATTGTGTAGATTAATTAGATTATGTCTGTACCAATTCAGGGAATGCAGAGCTAAATTACTGGTTTGGACAGGTTACTAAAGGTGGACTCTCTCCTGTATTGGAAACAGCCATGAAATTCTTCCTGGCCTGGCTATGACACTGCTGTCCAAGGAAACTCAGCTTTTGCTTACTAGCATCTTCCAGACTGTTGCAAGAAAGGAGTTGCTGTCTTTTTTCTAGGAAGGAACAGTCATGGAATTGAATAGTCCAAAGCAGCATTTCGACATGCTCGTATAAATCTGATCAAGTGTTACTTCAGGCTTCTTCACTTATTATTTATGTTTGGTCAGTAGCTGGCTCACAGTTTTTGTATTATCTGTAATCGTTGCAGTATATTATTGTAATCTTAGGCTTTGTAGTCTTTGACAAGCTTAGTTTCACTCCATTCTGCATCTCATCCCCTCCTCAATAAGTGCTTCCAGGTGCTCTTCAAGTAAACCTGACACATGAACTCTTGGTGCAAATTTAGAATTTCCTCAAATAGCAAAAAGAGTGGAGTTACCCAAGTATTTAACTTTTTTCCTGCACAGGAAGTTCTGAGTGGGGTCACTTCACTTTACAAATACTTCAGGAAGGGGAAACAAGAAGTTACTCTGACTCCGAGTATGTCCTGCAGGACAAGTGCTACTTGGCAATTACTAGTGTCTTTCAGGAATCAAGGTGGATAATGCAGAACAACGTTCTAAAGATCAATTTAAACATACAGAAATTATAATAGTCTATCATAGTAAACAATAAAAATATTAGCTTATGTAGAAATATAAGTTATACATAATGATATATGTAGAAATAAAAGTAATAGAAAAATAAGTTTTAAAAGAATATAGAAATAGAAGCAATAGAAAAATAAGTAATAAGTAGGAATAAAAATATGTAATAATACAGTAATAGGAGTAATAATTTTATCTATAGAGAGAAATATATCTAAAGTAAAAAATTAGTAAGCTCTAAGTATATATGCATAAGAAATAGAAGTAATTTTAATAAGTAAATTATAGAAAAATACCTAATATTAAAAAAGTAATAAGAAGTAGCAGAGAAACTAGTTTTGAACCTTTCTTCCAAATGTATATATTTGTAGTACAATTAAGAGGAAGCTACAGAAAGCTAGGGTTATCTGAAGCCTAAAACATAGCAGCTATGTTATCAAGACCTTTTGCTTTAATATGTTATAATGTTTAAGTTAAAGGATCTTGTTTTGTCCTTCCTTAATTCTGTGTTTGAATTTGCAAACTGGGTGATTCTTACAATTCTTCTAATTGCTTCAGTAGCTTTTAGTATTTTTGCATTTTTAATCATCTTCTCTTGGGATTACATTATTGCTGTGCAGTGACTCCTTTGGTTTGGAAGAGGAGTTGCAAATGCCAAAAACCATGCACTGGAAAAAAACAGGAGCATAAGCTGTTGCTTGTTAATTGGATATAGAATAGAAAGATATCGTCATTCTTCCATTTTAATATATTGTTTGTGGTGGAAAAAAAATAGCAGCATACAGCCTTGTGGGTGACATTAGAAGCTAGACACATGTGGCCTTTCACTGTGCACTGGAGTGTTTTATGTAAATTCACCTGAAACACTTTTTTGGGGAGGGGAATGAATGTGCGTATGTATTCTGAATCATGCCAAGTAATAAGCCTACTGTTGTGTATAGCCAAGGACTAGTGTTCTGCTGATCTGACTTCCCTTTTCCTTCATGCAGAATTTTTATCAAAGCTGTGGGAAATATGCTGGCCCTGTTTCAAATAATACAGAGATGCCTGTATTAGCCATTACATATACCAAAAGATGCAACTTAATGATTTCCACATAGAATTGCACAGTCAAGCTCATACTCATACTTCACGGTATTGAATTATGCATGACATTTTTAATGGTGGAACAAAAACAGTAGCAGAAGGAAGTGCTGCAAAGGACTTGAAGCCCTTTCTGGTTATTAGGCACTGGTGTATGTGCATGCAAATCCCAAGATATCCTTTGTTGAAACTGGAGCTGTGCTATACAAATCAAAGGTTTATGAAAGTAATACTAAATGAGGGAAGATTAAATAAAAGAAAAACTAACACAGGGAAGCACAAAATACGTACCAACTTATTGGACTTGAGAGTGAGAAATAAAAATCTTCTATTTAGTTGGAGGTTGAAAGTATCAACTAGTGCAAACACTACAGTAATTCCAAGGATTAGTCATATTTGATAGTCTACAGTCATGGTGCCTGTCAATGTGTATTCAGTGAAAACTGGGAGAATGTAATTAAAATTATTTAAAGAAGAGCTGCTGCATCTTAAAAGACAGCTATGGTCTAAACTCAGTTAATTGAATTTCCATACCCTTTTGAAATATTCCACATCCTGTTCTATATATTATTTACCCAAATTCTGTACTGCAACCAAATGCTATACATTTGGTGTTTGAAAGTTGAGACTGACTTAACAAACCTGCTGTTAACAGTTGAAGGGGGGCCACCTCAGACAGAACCAAGACAGTTTGCTACCAGGCCAGACTTGAAAGTATTTGAAAAAAGAAAGCACTGGCCAAGCCACAGTGCTACTTTTCAGATATGTGAAGACAGAAAAAAATATTGTTCAGGGCTTGAACAGTTATGTTAAGGATTATCCTGTCATATTATGTTCTGTTTTATTGCCAGCATAATGCTACTATATCACCAGCATTCCAGAGCAAACTTGATTACTGGTATTTCGATAGCCAAACTCTACTGGAACTAGCTTGATTTCAGGCTCTTTAGCATAATCCAATTTATAATACCCAATTATCAAAGCTATGATGTGTTATTACCACTGGTACTGCTACTGTTAATTTGTCTTGGCTTCATATATGGGGTTTATTTTTACTGCAAGTCACTGAGTACACTCAACTAGTTGCTTTTTTAACAAGATCTCTAGAGAACTCTTCAACAATGATGCATGTTAAGAAAAAAGCCAGAATGCAATGTACTACCAAGCAGAGACCAGATGAGTCGGCAAGAGTCCAGAGTTCAAAAAAAAAACCCCAAACCTTAAACATGGGAAGAATTTGTTAGGATATGCACTTTGAAAACATAATGAGAATAAAATAAGAGGCAAAGTCATTATCTCATTGGAATCAATGATACGGTTTCTGTTGACATCAAGGAAGCGATCACTGCGTCCTTTGTGTTACTTGTGGGATAGTTAGATACATTTCTAGCATTGTTCTGACAAACAGTACCTTTCTCAACATTGGAAAAAGGGCAATTACAGTGTGTAGTTTCCTAAAACTGTCTCTTAAAGTATTTATAAAGTATAACCTCAACCTCTTATCCAGATGCCCCAACCTCTCATCCAGTTTTTCAGTGCAAAACCTATTCAGATTTGACTGGGAAAGAAATACTGAGATTACTTCCATATGTGCTTTCGAAAGACAAGTGCTCCTCAGCGTTTTATATTCCTAAGTATAACTCTGATGTGGTTGTCAATGTTAAATATCAGTGGTGTTTTGAGACATACAATTTTCTCTGTTTCCAGGTGGGCCATGCACAGGTACAGCTCATGCCTCGTTAACCACACCAACCAAAAGATCTTGTGACTCAGGTATGTGTTTTGTGGGGGCTGAGAAATTAGGTTTTGCATGGTACATAGCTCTATGGTTATAGTTTAATAGTCAAGGTTAATAATCTGGTGAATGCCCAATGAAGTATTCTTGCTTTGCTGTTAGAAATGTGTATATATAGAATATATATATATATATATATATATCTGTGTGGCAGATAGTTCATCTCAAAGTCCTGTTAAATGTAATTCCATGAATATGCTAAGACATCCAGGAGTAATCGGTTTGATTTAAGTCTAATGATTGTGATAGTGTTCTGGAAATGCAAAGTATTGAGTGGAAAATGGAAGTATATCCAGAGTTCAAAAAAAAAACCCCAAACCTTAAACATGGGAAGAATTTGTTAGGATATGCACTTTGAAAACATAATGAGAATAAAATAAGAGGCAAAGTCTCATTGGAATCAATGATACGGTTTCTGTTGACATCAAGGAAGCGATCACTGCGTCCTTTGTGTTACTTGTGGGATAGTTAGATACATTTCTAGCATTGTTCTGACAAACAGTACCTTTCTCAACATTGGAAAAAGGGCAATTACAGTGTGTAGTTTCCTAAAACTGTCTCTTAAAGTATTTATAAAGTATAACCTCAACCTCTTATCCAGATGCCCCAACCTCTCATCCAGTTTTTCAGTGCAAAACCTATTCAGATTTGACTGGGAAAGAAATACTGAGATTACTTCCATATGTGCTTTCGAAAGACAAGTGCTCCTCAGCGTTTTATATTCCTAAGTATAACTCTGATGTGGTTGTCAATGTTAAATATCAGTGGTGTTTTGAGACATACAATTTTCTCTGTTTCCAGGTGGGCCATGCACAGGTACAGCTCATGCCTCGTTAACCACACCAACCAAAAGATCTTGTGACTCAGGTATGTGTTTTGTGGGGGCTGAGAAATTAGGTTTTGCATGGTACATAGCTCTATGGTTATAGTTTAATAGTCAAGGTTAATAATCTGGTGAATGCCCAATGAAGTATTCTTGCTTTGCTGTTAGAAATGTGTATATATAGAATATATATATATATATATATATCTGTGTGGCAGATAGTTCATCTCAAAGTCCTGTTAAATGTAATTCCATGAATATGCTAAGACATCCAGGAGTAATCGGTTTGATTTAAGTCTAATGATTGTGATAGTGTTCTGGAAATGCAAAGTATTGAGTGGAAAATGGAAGTATATTGACTTTTCTTTCCCTCATCAAAGATACAGTACAGACTGCTGAGTATATCTTACCTGCTCTGGGTTCTTTCAATGACTATTTCTTCAGGGAGGATATAGATGGTTCATCTTTCAGAGAGCTAGTGTCTGTAATTACATGGTAGATCATTGCCAGGCTGAAGCTGCTGGTTCTGCTCTGGATCTTGCATGGAGGAGCATGTGAGCACTCACTCAGACAGGCAGGCAAGTTACCTGCATTGGCTCAGATCTTTTTCAGACTTCAGTTCTGCATGGATTATGGAGTGCTTGTATGATCCTTTCTACCAGCACCACTGTGGGAAGCCATAAGCACCTGTGGAGTGGCAGTGACAGATATCTAGGGTGTAGTAATGTTCTAGCAGTCTGTGTTTCCAAAATAACTTTTGGCTATATTTACATTTATGTACCAGTTGAACTGCATAGGATGTGCAGAAAGTAAGGGCATTTTGTGTTTCATTGAGGGCTCTTCTTTCAGAAGGTAGAGGTTAATTTCCTCCAAAGTCATTCTTTCAAGAAATGTTTCAGGCTATTGTATATTTAGCTGAACTATTGTTATTGCATATATGCATGTTGTTAGCTCATAGTGCATGTCTCATGAGGCAAGCTGACTTGGTCTGCAGCAGAGGAAGGTTAAAGAGAAGCAATGTTACCTTGCACTTGATGCAGATACAGACCTCTCAAGTAATGCATGATAATTTGTGACAATGCTGTGAGTCTTGTTTGCCAAAGAATTTTCTAAGTTTGGTATTGGAAGATACTGGATCCAACTTCTCCACAGTAGGAAGACTGTGGATTTTCTTTTCTGCATCGCCAGGGAGGTGTACCTGAACAGGATGGAATGTTTGCCAAACTAACCTGCTTTGCTTATGCTGTGATTTAATTGTATTTTCTTTATACGTTAACTGTTGTATTGTTGAACTCTGCTTTTCATTGCAGGGTAGTTTAGAAGCTGTCTACGATGCCATAAATACTGAAAACTGAGAGTAATGTTTGAATATTTTTTAAAATGCGCTTGTGATTAGCAAAAAGGCAAGTCTACTATTCGGAGTGTTAAGTGACAACAGCAAAAGCTCCTTAGAATAAAGCAGATGAAGCTACTAGACATTTTGAAAAGTATCCATTAAATGGTTGGCTCAGTAGTTCTCTTATTTTTGATTTATGGTAATGTTTAGTCCTTTCATGCTTGTATGTTAATCATTTAGTGTGTTTAGCAAGAAAATAAGGAGATCTTCTTAATTTGATGCCACAAGTTTCATCTTCAGTCAACTAAACCTAATGAGTCTATATTACTTTGTTTTCCCCCAGTGTTTTTTTTTCATTATTTGCTCAGTGATCTGCATATTTTGTTTGTTGTCCCTTACACTAATAAACATGGTAGCAGGAGTTGCAGTTATTTTCTCCAGAGCTTAAATTTTCAGCAAACTTTCATTTTTAAAATAAACGACTGTGTTTTCAAAGTCTGCATTTGGGATTCCAGGTAGATACAGGAATTTAAAGCATTGGCTATCAAAACATTACCCAGAAATGGTGTGACATCTTGAGGCACAAGCAGCAGACCGGGTAGGATAATATTTTGCACTGCATTCACTTCAGCTTAGTGTCCCTTCATAGAAAACCATTTAAATGATACAAGCAATATTTGTCAATACTACACATTGTGTATAAGCCTCTTTTGTCTAAGTATTCTATATTTCTTCTACCTGGAAGACCTTCGAAGGAAGAATGTTTTGGTGGAATTCATCTGTGTAATTTTTTCTTTCCCTTTGAGCATAGTTTTTCCCTAAAGTCTGCCATATATCAGCATTTAAAACAGAAAATTAGAAAATTGACCTACTTATCTTGTATGCAGGTTGCCATCAGGAAGATATTAAGGCAGACACAAACCTTTTGTATTTTTTAGCATTATTATAACCACTGAAGAAAGATCAAAACAATAAATCTGCCAAGATATGGGAAAAGTTCTCTGAAAACGAAAAAGTTTTTACCTCCTGCTCTTGTCATCTTGTATGCTGGAGGAGCTGTTCAGATAAAAAATTGTATTATGACACCAAATAGTGGGGTTTTTATCCTCTTCGGTAGAATCATTGCTGTGGTAAAAAGTATTTCTGTTCCAAAGTGTGCCTGTAGGACAAGCGTTATAATGAAAAGAATGAATAAAGGCTTGCAGTCATTAGTCTGGATGATTCTTTAAAGGTTTTTGAGAGCCAGGAGTCTGAAGATTTTGCAGTAAAAAAGGAGGGAGTCTGTGGCCTAGTGTGTAGCTTCTTACGGAATTTGATTTGTTTTGTAATGTTATGGTTGATACCAGATACTTTGAGGCTTGCTTTAGTCACAAGTGCACCCAGATCCCATTTATATTGGGTGCCTGTGTTATGAAAGTGCAAGTGGCATATTACTTTTCTTTTTCTGCTGCAACTTAAAGCTGGTTTAATATACAATTCTAAACACCCAGGTCTTAAAACATTTTCATGCAGCTGAAAGAAATCTGAAAAAAACTGGTAGAACCGTGTGAGTGCACTCAGTTAATTTTTAATTGTATGGCAGAGAGGGTAGTAGAAAAAGGCAGATCAAAATGCAGTAATTAAATATTCAGTTCATACATTATAGCCATGAAGTCGGTGAGTTTTAAAATACTTTATTTCTCAGTAGCAGATGGGCATCTTTAATATTCTATATAGTTACATGTGCAGATAGCTCACATTTTCTGAGGATATCTGTCCTAGATGGGTGTGGTGGTGTTTATATTGTGTGAAATTACAGTGCTTGTCTCATTGCTCCATGCTTTTTCTAGTTTAAATTTGGGTCTAGAAGATGCAAATAATTCTTTCAGTGCTTGAGCAAAGAAATTAAGCAGGTGTATGGTCTTTTTTGAAGTTTTGGGTTTATTGATGTGTTTATACAATGCTTTGTGGCTGAACTTACGTAACTGAGAGGGCAGCCCCTTAGGAGTTAGAGAAAGGACAGATTGTGGAAGAAGTACCCACATTTTCAGTCACCCAAAACCAAGAAATATTTACCGTTGTATGATCTTTTTTTAATCAATCTTTGTGTTGAGTAAGACAAAAAGATCTAGTACACCACTAATTAAATTGTTTTAAAATAGTTCTGAAGTGTTAAGCTCCTGAGCAGAAAATATGCAAAAATTATTGAAAGGGTTTATAACATTTAAACAATTTTGAGGTGTATTTTTCATTGGTGTTCCAAGGGACCTGCAAGGTATTATTTAGTGTTTGACTTCTGGAGGGCATTATGTTAGAAATCCAACCTTCTTGGAGCTCTCTCACTCACAGGAAAGTGGTGATAGAACAGCCTTTGAGCAGCATAAAATATCACCCAGCCCTGGCAATCATAGTGCCCATTAGGGATATACTTCTTTTTTTTTTTCCCGCCTTGGCTCCATTTCCAGCTGTACTAATAGAACAGCACATCAAGCAAAGCTGTAAATAAAAGTTATAACCTAATAGGTGGGTGCTGAAGTGGAACGGACAGGAGCTGGGGCATGAGAGCCTTATTACTGCTCATCAGCAATTATAAACAGGATAAAGTGTCTGGGACTTGCACTGATACAGCAAGAACTAATAGGGGCTGTGAGATAACACCATACCGTGATCAGATGATGTATGTTGACAGGTTTTTACTATCTCATTTTATTGCCTATTTTGGTGATGTGTTGTATTATCTGTTCTGTGCTTCCATATAAATCTGGATGGATTAGAAGCTTGAGCACATACACTTTGCATTAGTTGGCAGCACTGGTTATCTGAGAGCCTTTGCAAAGGGT